AATATTTTTTTCTATTTTTTTGAATATTATGTATATAATTTATGCAACTATACAAACATACTGTGGTAAAAACTAAAAACTTAGGTCCTTGGAGCTTTATGGTCCAGGGGCTAAGGCTCTCTTTACTAATTAAATTCTGGCTTGAAATAATCGTTAAAGTGCATTATTACAGTTTTAGTTATGAATTATGAGATATTATCAAAAGTGAAATAAATTATTATTCGTTATATTAATGTTTTGTTATATTAATTAAACAATTATAATAACTTATGATGTTATGAATTTCTTAATGTACTGTAACGTCTGTAACTCGTAAAATGTATTTTGCTAAAGAGACATATCGCGTATGTATTAGTATTACTTCTGTCTTACAAACGTACAACATACCAAATTTTCGTTCAGTAAAAACTAATTTTGTGTTGAAAGCTTTTATTTAATCGAATACGTAAAGAAATTAAAATTATCTAATTTTATATACTTGACTTTTATAGTAATTCGATTTTTAAGATAGTTATGACTTAAATTACTACAATTTAAAAATGCTAATCTAATACAATATTGCCGGAAAAAAAATTACTGATAATCACTAAAACGCTTTCCTAGTATATGATGAGACGATAGCCAGCAGCAGTGATAGTTATTCGTCGAATTTCTTTGTGTTCCTTGTGATTATTATTACCCGGCGATTGTTGACTATATTCTCAAAATTTCAAGCATTTATCGAAGATACGAAACCTGTTATTGTGGTAACCTGGCTCCGACAGCAGGAAACCAGTGGTCCTACCAATGTCCTCAAGAATCGGCGGACAGAAAAAAACCAGGCGCCAATGAGACCATATAGGATATTTTCTTAAAAATTTGAAAAAGATTGACTATGACCATTGACCATATCCGAAAATCGGACACGGACGTTTTGGCGCCGCCATTTTGGCCCTGCCGCTTTGGCGCCAACTAACCTAATAGAGTATATATCAAAATTATACCTAAAAAATTATTTCAAGATAAAGTAAAAATATAAATATATAAATATATAGTAAAAATTAAAACATAGTGAATAGTTAATTATAAAATTATTATATTAAAAACAGTTACTCTAATGAAACATTGTTTGCAATGCCTCTTAAAAATAAAAAAAATTCTATTTTTATCATAATTAGAAACTAATTTTAAAATTGTTTTATCATTATCAATGTATTTCTTCTTTTTTTTTTTGATGGACTTCCACCAGCAACTAATTGTTCATAAAAAACGTCTTTTCCTGTTTGGATTTTTTTAAGGCAATTTATAAATGATCATATTGTTGGATTGCGCGATTTTGGTTTGTTAACACCCTTTGATATAAATTCCATATTTCTGGAGAAAATCATGGTGATCAACGACCTACTTTTCTTCGATTTTTTCTTACAGTCACAATAGATAACGTGCGATATTTATTGTCGATTGACATTTTTACAACTAACTATTTATTATATTTTCATTTCAAATTAATTGTAATACTTAACAAAATTGTAATTTTAAATATTATATAGAAATATTAGTTGGCGCCCAAACGGCTAGCGCCAAAATGGATAGCGTCAAAACGGCAGCGCCCAAATGGCGGCGCCAAAACGTCCTAGACCGCCCGAAAATACCTGTCACCGATCTAATACTCCAGCTTGCTGCTCGAGTGTGTCATCTAGAGAATGCCACTTATTTGAGGAGGTAGTTTGATGTGGAACAGTGCTTTCTATATTTAATAATAGGACAAGAATTCATTCTTCCTTTTTCATCAATTAGCGTCGTGCCACTACCGGGCCGGTGGCTTAAGGACCATTGGTCAGATTCGACTCATCTTCCCTCAAACACTTGTACACATTAAAGTATTTTAGAAAATAAAGTTAGGTGTAATTGCCATTAAAACAAGATACAAGTATTTATTCAATGAGGTTAGGTTACACTTAAAAATGTGATGACTGTATCAAATCAAAGTAATTAGATATTTCATTATTCTTCAAAAAATAATGTAAATAAATACAATTGAGTAAAATATTACATAGCTTTTTAAAAAAAAGTACTGTACTGGTATAATTGAGAATTAAATAAAATAAATTTAAGAATATTTATACATATTTTAAAGCAAGTGTAAAATTTGTCTTTTTTGTTAATATTTGTATATAATTAATTATTAGATAAAAACCAACGACCAATAAAATTATAAGACCTAATTCAAATATTTGACTATTCAGTACTTGTAGTTTAAAATTAATAAATTAGTTTAATATTTTCACATTAATTATTTTTTTATGAAAAATAACTAATAGTAGTTGTTTAAATAATTGTAATAAACGTAATAAACAATCATTGCCAACCTACAAGTATTTTATTTACATAGTCATGTATTAGAAATATGTATATAATTTGAACTTTTTAAAACTTTTTATAGAATTTACTTTAAAAACTTTGTTGATATATAATTTTTTAATGTTTTCCAATTCCTGTAACTTTACATTTTAATAGTATAAGGCACTTCTAGAGAAATGTTTAAAACATTCTTATTCTTATTTGTATACTTTAATTCTTTATGGACTAAGTAAATTATAAATAATACTACATTTGTATTAAGTTTAATAGGTATTTATTAACGTTTTATTAAAAATCAGGTATGAAAGTATCTGGTGATGAACCTAAGCAATGGCCGTAAGTCAAACAAAATTTAAAGCTATTGAAGTGCAATTGTCAATTAACATATTACCGCAATATGCTTATAATGCCAGTTAATCAAGTTTGTAATACTATCGATATTGGCGCAAAAATAGCGCTGGAATTAAAATATGAAACAACGGACGCGCACGTAAATAAAACTCATTTCTTTCTACAAAAATCATGTATACAAATAAGTTTAAAACTAATGAAATGATTGCTTATTTTTTTTCAGTTAATGTTCATAGTGTACATGATAATATAAATAGTATTACAACGTACATTTCTAGTGGACCGTTATTCGATAAAAAATATTAATTTTCTCACATGCATTTTTACTAGAGTGCCGAATGAGAAGAAAAAAGAATTGAACACCAAATCAATTTTTTTAGGAGTAAATTGTATTTAATAGTCGTTTTGTAATATTTAATTTTTTCGGAGTGAATTAGTATTATATTTTATTTAATGTTGTTTTCGATAAATATATGATGAGAGATATAGTAATGAACCAAATTCAATTAATTAAAAGTAAGTATACTTAAAGCTTATTACATATGTTAAATATTTGTCTCTATTAGAACTTTTTATGTACAAATATATATTATTAGTAAGTGGTTAAATAATATATTTTAATAAGTGGGTTCAATTTTGTCATATGCCATAAGTTAAAATGTATTGATGTCATAATAATATATTTATATCAAGTCGCATAAAAAGTTGATTAAATTATAAAAATGATTATGGTCATTACGGAAATGCTATACGTTATATTGATGGTGTTTGCTTTATTTTATATTTTGAAAAAGTATGTAAAAAAAGAAGAGAAAGTAGGTACTACTGTACTGTCTATATTAGGTACAAATGACGGACGTTTTAGCGATGGGCCTATTTGGCTCTAGCCGTTTTATCATTGTATTTTTTCTGTAATTATTTTAGCACCATCACCAACCACCAGATTTACTCATTTATAAAATAAATAGTTTTTTTTTATAATTCATAATGATTTTTAAAATTAATTTGAAGAAAAATAATAGTAGAATATAATTTAAGACGATAAAATATAAAATTATTAAACAAAAACAAACTATTTTGTAAATTTATTTTGATGTCATATTATTTATTGTATATAATTTACAAATATGTACAAACAGAATGACAGTTAAATAAACAGAACAAGTGTTACAAATGTTACGATTATTCAGTTGTGCAAAATAAAATGTATCGTTGATCCAACGTTATTTTGAAAAACATTTTAACTTCAACTAAGTTTTAAGAACGGGTAAGTAGTATTATACAATAGTCTAGAAATATCTCTTTGGTTTATAAAATAATGATTTAATGTTCATATAAAAATAATTTAAATGATATTCTTTTTATGGTGAATATTGTATAGACACATTAAGAGAAACGTCTTGTTTTAATCAAGTATGAAATTGTATAATACATTGTATTGAACACTGAACAATCTACTCAGAGATTCATGCAATGTTCATTTTGTTATTTTAAAAATTAGTAAAAATAAATGAGACCAACTTTACCACACCAAATATTTCACGGTTAATTTAACCGCACTAAATTACTACTATAATATTCATTCCTTATTTCCTATTTATTATACAATCAAGGTGTTAAGGGAGCATGATAATTTATAAATATTTTGACATTCGTTATGTGATGTTCATTGTATCTTAAGTCATCATGATCGTTGTTACAGCCATCTAATGATTTGGACGTCTGCATTGTGGTTTATGTTTGCTGTTTTGGCATTTTCAACGTCTGCCAATGGTTAGTATCTAATTGAAATCATTAAAATATTTATATTAAATACTTAAAATTTAGAAGATATGATGATTTACAGTTTCATTTTTGATAATTTACAATTAATTTATCTATGAAAAATAACAGTACTTTAAACTTGTATTTAAATACATTAATATGAATCAAAGCTCAAATGTTTTCTTTGAATCAATATTACGTAATTAAGTAGATGATTAAGATGTTAAGTCACGCATTTATTTTTATTTCCTAATAAGATATTGATAACTTAAAGTTTAAGAGAAATAAATAATTTTTATCATGATGATGATATTATCTTTAATTAAAACCTGTATTTTTTCATCTACATTACTTAATTGTCTCTATTTAAAGATTATGATTATAATTTTTATTTACTACTAATTTAGCTATTTTTCTTTATTTTAACTACTACATTCGTTGTGTGCTAACTATACCTGAAGTAGATATAAAATCTTTTCTGAAAGTATACACTCAATGATGAGTATGGGTAAATAAAATTTAGGTATATGTTCTTTAATAATATACTAATATATTTAAGATTGTTTCCCTGAGTATTTTTTGTCAGAATATAATATAATTATACATAATTTATTTTTATTTTTATGATTATATATATTTTATATATATACAAGGTTATTCACGAGTTAAATTACAGCATTTTTATCACAATATAAATATAAAATATTTATGATAAAAAAATATTTTTAAAATGAAAGTTATTTTATTCAGAAATATCTAAATTGATTAGTAATTTTTATATTTTCTTGGAATGTTTTAGGGGGGGGGGGTTTAGACGACTTAAAACATTTAAATGGTGGTCTATATATATTTTTTTTATCATAATGTGAAGATTTTTTTTGGAGTATTTTGATAATTAAAAATCGAAATTCAGACTTATGAGTATTTAAAGTTCAGATGTACATACGTATAAATATATTGTAATATATTATTAGAGTGGTTCTTATTTTTATGTATTTACATTTTTGTGAACAAATCCTCTAATTATATTGCAATTTGTACAAAAATGATTTACAAAAAATTTGAAAATAATTGGTTATCTTTAATCCGTGCCCCAAAATGGCCAAAATCTTCATAGGTTTTACATTATTAATATTTCTGTATAAATGAGTACAATTTATAAATGTATTGAGCAAATTAAATCATAAATATATATATATATATATATATATATATCAGTTGTTTCATATAAAGCAATATATTTTTAAATAAATATGAGTATACTGTATATTTATAATAAGTCGTAATATAGAGTAAATATAGATACTTGAGTTGATTTTTAATAAACTTTTTAGACATTTTTAAAATTATCTAAATTTTAAGAAAATAAAATATTTTTATGTAAGTTATGTTCATACAGGTTAGTAGAGAAATATATTAATGTAGTATCATACTGTGTTACATTATTCTGTGTATATATATTCTATTTATTTGTAAATTATTTTAGGCATTGAGTTATGCATTGATCTATTTGATTAAAGTAATAAAACAAATAAGCTATTTAAAATTAATTGCAAAATTTTTAATCCTATAAAGCAACACTAAGAACTTTTATAGATAAAATAACTTTCATATATTACAGTTAAAGATAGATAGGCTGTAATTTTGAGATTAAAAATATATAAGCTCTTAAAATTATGTTTGATTTACATTTAATTTTTATTATTTTTTTCATATAAATAAAACATTCCTACTTTCTAGGTTATTTCTAGTAAGTTTATTTGAATTATTTATAACATGATAGATTTAATAACGATTGCTCCTAATAAAAAGATGAAAATTATATTGTTTTAACTATTAATACAAGGTACTTAAAGTTATCGCTTAAATATTATCGGAATCACTATAAAGTATTGTATCAATTGTGCAGAAAACAATGTTAATGCTTAGTGACTACGAAATATCAGATAGTTTATATAAAACATCTTCGTGATATTCTTTGTCAAACGATAATAAAACTACACAAGTATTTATTATATGGCAATATTTTTCAAATTAAGTACAAATAAAATACTTATTCTTTGCATTATACGATAAAAATGACTAACTATTATTAAAATATATTTTATGAATATATATTATGATTGCGATGGAATTTAAAAAGAATACATCCATAATTTATTTAATAAATATTAATTAATTATTTAATTATTATAATTATTATTACATAATTTAATTATGTATTAATCTAATATATTTATAGGTATTAGGTACATTGTATACTGACGTACCTAACAATATATACTCTCTTTCACCTCAAGTTAATATATTGCAATTTTGAACTATATTTTATTTTAAAATTAGTTTCGGATGAGTGGCCATATACTATTAAAGATCATGCAGGTCAAAAGTATCAGTCACCCGTGGATATAAATACAACATATGCAGTCGCGAGAGATTTGTCAATTTTACATTATTCTGGTTATTGGAAATTTAACAGGTCAAGAGTGGAAATTTCTAATAATGGACATACAGGTATAGGAAGTTTAATACTATAATAACACTTGTATTGTTATGTTACACTAATATTTGGTTTAATAGTTTACGTTAAAATTGCCAATAATTCCGATAAAGTGCCATATATCACCGGGGGCCCATTATTTGATAATATGTATGAGTTCGAACAGATGCATTTTCATTGGGGTAACGATGATAATGGAAGTGAACACAAAGTCAATGGACACAAGTTAGTAATAATTCAAATGTTTGAGAATTGTCAAAGTTGAAAATTTTTAAAAAAAGTTCTGTAAAAAATACAAATATTTTGTACTTTTAGGATTTTTTATTTTAAAATATTTTAATATATACTATGATTATATCATAATATATCAACTTATTTATTATTGTATCCTGTAATTTAATTATTTTTTAAAGGATATCCTCAAGAATCAATACTTTTTAAAATTGAAATATGTTTTAAAACTTATTTAGGTACAGGAATAGAATACATAATGATTTTTTTTTTAAGATGATAAATTATTAGTTGTTAATAACTTATATTGGGTAAGCTTGTGATCCTCCATTTATTAAAAATTAATACATAAATACTTGTAAGTTATAAGTTATACCTTATTAAAAATTTTATTTGTATATATTAAAATATTGTAGAAAATATTCTGATCTAGATTAAGAAATTAAGCAAACTCAAAAATAATAACGATAAAGAATTGTAAAAATATAAATATTTCAAAAACGTTGTTTCGATAATGTAAAAAAATATTTTCTAAAAAGTTAAGACTTGTTGAAATAATAAGTGTTGACATTTAAATGGATCAATTTATACTCCACTGTAGTATTATAAATTAAATTATTGATTTTTTCAAGTATATTTTGATAATTCCACAAAACTTAAATATTACTCATCTAAATAGAAATAATATTCAATATATTTTTAATATTATAAATAATTATAAGACAGGTAATCACAAAAGAAAATCACATACTTTTTAACTAATTATGTCAGAAAAATATTCTTTAACTGAATGTTTTTAAAGTTTCTTAAAACTCAAATCATTTCATTGATATGGACACTCAATAAATTCGAGTTATAATTTAAGCAACATGTATTTAATTAAAAAAATTATGATCATACCTAGTATAATTCTTTGCATTTAAATAATTGATTTAAAATAATTAAATAAACTGAATTAACTATGTGTTAACAGTAAATGTTAATGCATTGTTTATTTTCTATGTTAGATATGCTATGGAAGTTCATATTGTACATTATAAAAAAGAGTACGGAAATTTTCAAAACGCTTTAAGTTACAGTGATGGTGTTTGTGTCGTCGGATTTTTTGGAGAGGTAATCAATTTTATATAAATATTTTATTTATACATTTATAACGATCAAATCTATTGTGCATTTTATGTTAAATTCTATACAATTAAATAAATATGTGAAAACACTGTATTTCGTATATCTTCAGTTATAATCATGAGATTACATATTTTGTAAAAATTGATACTTGAGTTCAGAAAACATAATTTTAATATTAATATACTATACGCAATATTTCCAAAAAAAATTATATAAGCCTATCGTAATACTTAAAGTAAAATAAATTAAATTAATAGATATATCTCAAAAAAATATCATGTAATATACTTAATGATATAGGTTGACATAACCTTCATTTATTTTTATCCTTACTTCAAATATTACCTGTAAAAAATTAGTAAGTTTAATACAAACTTATTTTTGTATTATATAGATATAAAAATACTTTGAATAAAAACTTAAAAGTTCAGAATTATTTTTGTATTTTAATTTTAGTGAATTTTTTTTTTTTTTTTGGATATAACTATATTTTTCTAAAACCATATTCAGTGTAGCAATTAAAAATTAAAACACAATATCAATTTCTCTAAGGAGCTGGTACAGTAGAACCCCTCTCATTCGCCCTTGGCTGGTCCGCCGCTCCGGTTGATCCGACCATAGTATAATCGATATGAATACTATGTAATTTAAATATATAATTTGGATTTTCTACTTTATAGAAGATATTATATAAAAATAATTGTTAGTTTTAATATTTTCCTTATCGCTTGTCTGCTTTAGTACTCTGACCTCTCTTGTATCGTTTCTAACGGTGTGCGTATTTTGGAATATTGCAGTTAAGTCTAGAATGTCATTTGCTAAACAAAAATGTGTAACTGGCTTTTTTTCTAAGTAATCTAAAATATAATACATTTCTGATATAATCTTGTATGTAATATATAAATAAAAAAATGTTCTGTATATTCTGATAATCCGACCTTTTTTGCGTTCCGATCACACCCCCAGTCCGGAAAGGTGACGGATTAGAGAGGTTCTACTGTAATAGTATATTTAGCGATATTGTGGTGAGAGTATGCGTGAGCTATTTCAGTCTTGGCCGACGGGGTGACTTTTGCGTATGAGCTGCAGTTGAGCGTTACATTCATCCAAAACTGAAGTTATTTTCCTGTACGAGCTACACATATTATGTTTAGTCATTCTAATTCATATAACGATACTTAAGTAATCTACCAATCATCTACAGGAACGTATATAGGATTTTCTTGAGAAGTGGGATATGAAATAACATTTTAGTGCTTATATAAATTATATTATTAATAATAGTCCTCCAAAAATAATGTATTATATCTTTAATGTTGGTAACTGGTATCCCAACCAATAATAGTTATAGTCTTTGATCATAAAATAAAATTGGGTATAGGTGTTGTAACCTCTTAACTTCAGTTACTCTGTGTAAAGGATTTCGGTTTCGATGCGATGATTAGATCTTATTTTAATTCTTTTGTTATTATTGTTTAATGTCGTTGATTAAATATAGACATTTAAACATGTATATTTAATCAATGGTAATTTCACTCAGAATTCACAGGAATACAGAATTACCAAGTTATAACTTATAAGTAGGGCTCGGAACTTAATGCCCTTAAAAAGCACTAAATATGCATGCATTTATGCGTTTAAAAAAGTACAAATATGCTCTAAAAATATGCACTTAAATTTTTTAGGTATATGTTTTTTGTAGTGTCTTGGAATGGATTTCTAGTTCACTTAGTAATAAATCTTATAGTTAAAAAAAACATGCAAATGTATCAACTTCCAAGCCCTACTTATAAATAACAATACTATACTGTTATACTGGGTCTTAAAAAATAAAAGGCAAGGGAGGGAATCTATCCTTCTTTAACTATAAATACGCTTCTAACCCCCTAGTACGTATTGATACGTTTATATATTTATCTGATTTGAACAGTAAATTCGTTACTATCCAAATATCGTTAAGCGCAAAAAAGTGTTTACTTTCTGTTGGGATTTTTTATTTATTTATAGGTATCACCAAACGACAATCGAGATATGGATAATTTTATTGCAGATTTAAAATATTTAGTTCAACCAAATTCGAAGATAATTAGAAGTTTCAAAGACGAGTTTTCTTGGATAAAGAAAACAGCTTTAAAACAACATTACTACGCTTATCACGGATCTCTAACAACTACACCATTTTCAGAATGTGTAATCTGGATTATTTTTACCAAACCCATCAAAATATCTAGGGAACAGGTAAGATTAATTCATTTTTTACTAAATGAATATTAATTTTACTTCTTTGAATATTTATTGAATTTTAATAGTTGATGGCATTCAGAAAATTACATTCAAGTCATCATGGAGTATTAATAAATGAAAATGACAGAGATCTTCAACCATTTAATAATAGAACAATCATTTATGGATATTAAATGTATAAAATGTTATTTAAATTAACATTGTTGTTATTATTTTTTCTATTTATTACTTTTTATAATCAATTATGTTTTTATCAATGTTATTCAAGCCTGAATTATAATATTTAGAAAGTCCAGAGCCAAAGTTTTCAATGAGGCCTTCAAAAAGAATAAATCAATTGTATTATAAAATAATTATAGTTTTAATTAGAAAAAAAAATGCATAGATAATTTTTCCTAAATTTTAATTTAACTATTAACTATATCAATTTTAATAAAAATAATAATATTATATAATAATATTTTTTTCTATTTTTTTGAATATTATGTATATAATTTATGCAA